TTTCCCAATCCCCGCCGTTTTGGCCCCAATCCGCTCACCGGCCTCAGGCTGGGCAGCAGCGCCGCCGTTGCCGCCATTGCCGCCAGGGGGCGCGCGCGCAGCCCCGCGCGGCACAGCCGCAGGTGGGCGGGGCCAGCGCGCGCCAGCGCGGGGCCGGCCACGCCCACCGCCACGCCCAGGAAGCGCAGCGCCCCCTGCGGCCGCGGGGGGAAGCGCAGTCAGGGCATGGCTTGGGCGGGGTTTGGGGGGGATTTTTGGGGGGATTTTGGGGGGTTTTTGGGGGGTTTTTGGGGGGTTTTTGGGGGGTTTTTTTGAAGAATTTTTGGGGATTTTTTAGGGGTTTTTAGAGGAATTTTGGGGGATTTTTTAGGGGTTTTTAGAGGAATTTTTTGGGATTTTTTAGGGGTTTTTAGAGGAATTTTTAGGGATTTTTTGGGGATTTTTTGGTAAATTTTAGAGGAATTTTTGGGGATTTTTTAGGGGGATTTTTTGAAGAATTTTTGGGGATTTTTTAGGGGTTTTTAGAGGGATTTTTAGGGGTTTTTAGAGGAATTTTTGGGGATTTTTTTGGGGATTTTTAGAGGAATTTTTAGGAAATTTTTTGAGGATTTTTTGAAGAATTTTTGGGGATTTTTTAGGGGTTTTTAGAGGAATTTTTAGGGATTTTTTTGGGATTTTTTGGTAATTTTAAGGGGGATTTTTAGCAGGATTTTGGGGGATTTTTTTGGGGATTTTTTGAAGAATTTTTGGGGATTTTTTTAGGGGTTTTTAGAGGAATTTTTAGGGATTTTTTGGGGAATTTTTAGGGGAATTTTTAGGGATTTTTAGAGGAATTTTTTGGGGACTTTTTGAAGAATTTTTGGGGATTTTTTAGGGGTTTTTAGAGGAATTTTTGGGGATTTTTTGAAGAATATTTTTNTTTAGAGGAATTTTTTGGGGACTTTTTGAAGAATTTTTGGGGATTTTTTAGGGGTTTTTAGAGGAATTTTTGGGGATTTTTTGAAGAATATTTTTGGATTTTTAAGGGGTTTTTAGAGGAATTTTTGGGGATTTTTTAGGGGTTTTTAGAGGAATTTTTAGGGATTTTTTGGGATTTTTTGAAGAATTTTTAGGGATTTTTTTAGGGGTTTTTAGAGGAATTTTTGGGGATTTTTTAGGGGTTTTTAGAGGATTTTTTAGGGATTTTTTGGAAGAATTTTTGGGGATTTTTTGGAAGAATTTTTGGGGATTTTTTAGGGGGTTTTAGAGGATTTTTTAGGGATTCTTTTGAAGAATTTTTGGGGATTTTTTAGGGGTTTTTAGAGGATTTTTTAGGGATTTTTGGGGGATTTTTTGGGGGATTTTTTGAAGAATTTTTTTGGATTTTTAGCGGGATTTTTAGAGGAATTTTTAGGGATTTTTTTGGGGTTTTTTGGGGATTTTTTGGGGATTTTTAGAGAATTTTTTTGGGATTTTTAGGGGGATTTCTAGCGATTTTTAGAGGAATTTTTAGGGATTTTTTGGGGGGATTTTTTGAAGACTTTTTGGTGATTTTTTCGGGATTTTTTGGTAATTTTTAGGGGGATTTTTAGGGATTTTTAGAGGAATTTTTAGGGATTTTTTGCGGGATTTTTTGAAGAATTTTTAGGGATTTTTTGCGGGATTTTTAGAGGAATTTTTAGGGATTTTTTGAAGAATTTTTGGGATTTTTTAGGGGTTTTTAGAGGAATTTTGGGGGATTTTTTGGGGATTTTTTGAAGGATTTTTTGGGATTTTTTAGTGGTTTTTAGAGGAATTCTTGGGGATTTTCTGGGGATTTTTTGGTAATTTTTAGGGAGATTTTTAGGGATTTTTAGAGGAATTTTTAGGGATTTTTTGCGGGATTTTTTGAAGAATTTTTTTGGATTTTTTAGGGGTTTTTAGAGGAATTTTCGGGGATTTTTAGAGGAATTTTTTTGGGGATTTTTTTTGAGAAGATTTTCTAAATTTTTTTCGGGTTTTTTTTGGAAATTTTGGGGCTCTCACCTCCATTTTTTGGGGATCCTTCGCCGCCTCCTGGATCCATTTTTCCACCGGTTCCCAAAATTTGGGGCCCCCCAGGAGCACCAGCCGCGCCCCGAGCTGGGCCAGGGCCCCTCTGCTGGACGAGCTGGGGGCAAAAAATTCCCAAAATTCCCAAAATTCCCCAAAATCCCCCAATTCTAGGATCAAATCCCCACTTTTCAGCAAAAAAATCCGATTTTTTTTACCCAAAAATTCCCATTTTTTTCACCAAAATTCGCAATTTTTAGTGAAAAAAATCTGATTTTTCGGGGATTTATTCTGCCCGTTTTCAGCCCAAAATTCCCATTTTCCCCCCAAATTTCACCCAGGAAAATCCAATTTTTCATTCCAAATTCCCAATTTTTTCCCCAGAAATTGATGTTTTCACCCAGCTTTTTCCCAAAATTCCCCATTTTTTACCCAAAATTCCAATTTTTAATCAAAACCCCCCAATTTTCACCCCAAAAATCCCCATTTTTTACCAAAACACCCCAAATTTTTCACCAAATTTCCATTTCTCAAAAAAAATCCACATTTTTCACCCAAAATTCCCTTTTTTCCCCCCACAAAATTCCCATTTTTCCCTTAAAAATCCCCATTTTCCCCAAAATTCCCAATATTCTCCCCAAAAATTCCCAATTTTCCCAAAATTCCCGATTTTCAGCCCAAAACCCCCAATTTTCCCCATAAAATCCCCAAATTTTTTACCAAAACATCCCAAATTTTTCCACCAAAAACTCCCCGATTTTCAACCCAAAAACCCCAAATATCCACCTAAAATCCCCCAATTTTTTTTCCCAAAATCCCAATTTTTTTCCCCAATTCTTCTCCAGCCCCACCCCCCTCCAGGTTTATCCCCAAAATCTCCCAAATTTTGGGGAAATTTGGGGGAAATTTGGGGAATTTCGGGCAATTTTCCACTCACTCCGTCTCCCGCTCCAAGGCCTCGACCAAGACGTGGGGGAGCCTGGGAGGGGGCGTGGCCACAGTTAGCCACGCCCCCTCATTAGCATATTCTGCTAATTAACTCCATTTATGCACAGGCCACGCCCTCAAAACCAAACTTAAGCCCCTCCCCCTTTTGTAATTAATCACGCACATCAAATTAATTAATTAACCCCAGGCCACGCCCATATTAAGCCACTCCCCTGAATTAAATTAGCTCCATCCCCTCCCTAATTAACATTTTTAATTAAGCTCCACCCCCTCCATTGTACTCCAAATGAAGACAACCCACGCCCCCTCATTAATTCTGATTGGCTACTGGCCCCGCCCACTTCCCCACAAGCCACGCCCCTCCCATTGAGTTCAATTGGTCTGAAGCTCCGCCCACTTCCCCACAAGCCACGCCTCCTCCCATTGACTTTAATGGGGCTGAAGCCCCACCCACTTCCCCACAAGCCACGCCCCCTCCCATTGACTTCAATATGGCTGAAGCCCCGCCCACTTCCCCACAAGCCACGCCCCTCCCATTGACTTCAATGGGGCTGAAGCCCCGCCCACCTGTCAATCAACTCCGGGGGGAGTTTCCGGAGGCGCCTCCGGAGCAGAAGAGCGGCCAAATTTCGGATCTGGGAGCCCCAAAATCCCCCAGATTCACCCCAAAATTCAGCCCGAAACCACCCAAATTCACCCCAAAATCCACCCCAAAATTCACCCCCAAAAGCCCCAAATTCACCCCAAAATTCACCCCGAAATCCCCCAAATTCACCCCAAAATCCACCCCAAAATTCACCCCCAAAAGCCCCAAATTCAACCCCAATATTCATCCCAAAATCCCCCAAATTCACCCCCAAAATCATCCCAAAATCCCCCAAATTCACACCAATATTCATCCCAAAATCCCCCAAATTCACCCCAAAAATCGTCCCAAAATCCCCCAAGTTCACTCCAAAATCCCCAAATTTCCCCCAAAATTCACCAAAATCCCGCAAATTCTCCTCAAAATCCCCTCAGAACCCCCCAATTTTCCCTGAAATCCCCAAAGTTCCCCTCCAATACCCAAAATCCCCCCAAATTTTCCCAAAATTCCCCCAAAATTTCCCAAATTACACCCAAAATCCCCCAAATTCACCCCAAATCCCCCAAAATTACTCCCAACCCCCCCCCCAAATCCCCAAATTCCCCAAAAAATCCCCAAATTCCTCCCCAAAATCCCAACATTCCCCCCAAAATCCCTAAATACTCCCCCAAATTTCCCAAATTCATCCCGAAAATCCCCAAATTCACCCCAAAATCTCCTCAGAATCCCCAAATTCCTCCCGAAATTTCCCCAAATCCCCCCCAAAATCCCACCAGAATCTCCAAAATCCCCGAAAAATTCCCAAGTTCCCCCCAAAAATCCCCAAATTCCCCCCAAAATTCCCTCAGAATCCCAAATTTTCCCCAAAAATTTCATAAATTCCCCCCAAAATGCCCCAAAATTCCCCCCAAATCACCAAAATCCCACCGAAAATCTCCAAAATTCCCCCCAAAATCCCTCAAACTCACCCCAAAATCCCTAAATTTCTCCCAAATTTCCCCCCAAAATCCCTCCAAAGTCCCAAAATCCCCCTAAAATTTCTCCAAAATCACCCCAAAATTTCACCAAAATCCCCACCAAATTCCCCCAAATTCATCCCCAAATCCCCCAAATTTCCCAAATTCACCCCAAATCCCCCCAAATTACTCCCAAAATCCCAAAATTCCTCTCAAAGATTCCCAAATTCCCCTCCAAACCCCCCCAAAATCCCAAAATTCACCCCAAATTCCCCAAATTTACCGCAAAAATCCCCAAATTCCCTCCAAAATCCCCTCAGAATCCCCTAAACCCCCCCAAAATTTCCCAAATTCACCCCAAAATCCCTCAAAATCTCAAAATTCCCCCCAAAAATCCCCAAGTTCACCCCAAATCCCCCAATTCACCCCCAAAATCCCTAAATTCCCCCCAAAATGTCCCAAAATCCCCCAAATTTCCCCCCAAATCCCCTCAGAATCCCCAAATTCACTCCAAAATATCCCAAAATCCCCCCAAAATCCCCAAAAAAATCCCCAAATTTCCCGAATTCCCCCCAAATCCCCCAAAATTCTTCCTAAAAACCCAAAAATCCCCCCAAAACCCCCAAATTCCCTTCAAAATCCCCTCAAAATCCCCAAATTCTCCCCAAACTTTCCCCAAATCCCCCCAAAAATCCCCAAACTCACCCCAAAATCCCCAAATCCCCCCCAAAAAATCCCGAAATTCCCACCAGAATCCCCTCAGAATCCCCAAATTCTCCCCAAACTTTCCCAAAATCCCCAAATTCCCCCCCCAAATCCCCTCAGGATCCCCCCAAAATCCCCAAATTCCTCCCCAAAATCCCAACATTCCCCCCAAAATCCCTAAATTCCCCCCCAAATTTCCCAAATTCATCCCAAAAATCCCCCAATTCACCCCAAAATCTCCTCAGGATCCCCAAATTCCCCCCAAAATTTCCTCAAATCCCCCCAAATCCCCTCAGAACCCCCTAAATCTCCCCAAAATTTTCCAAATTCCCCCCAAAATCCCCCAATTCACCCCCAAAATCCCAAAATTCCCACCAAAATCCCCTCCGAATCCTCAAAATCCCCCAAATTCATGCCAAAATCCCCAAAATCTCCCCCAAATTCCCCTCAGAATCCCCTAAACCCCCCCAAAATTTCCCAAATTCACCCCAAAATTCCTCAAAATCTCAAAATTCCCCCCAAAAATCCCCAAGTTCACCCCAAATCCCCCAATTCACCCCCCAAAATCCCTAAATTCCCCCCAAAATGTCCCAAAATCCCCCAAATTTCCCCCCAAATCCCCTCAGCATCCCCAAAATTCCCCCAAAAATCCCCAAATTCACCCCCAAAACCCCCCAAATTCCTCCCAAAATTTCCCAAAATCCCCAAAAATCCCCCCAAAAATCCCCCCTCACCTGCGGCCTCTCCGCCGCCCTCAGCAGCTCCGCGAGCGCCTCGGGCCCCTCCGGCTCCCGCAGCGCGTCCCGCAGCCGCTCCGAGGCCTGCAAAACACCCGCAACCCTCACCGCGGGGCCCCCCAAAACCCCCAAATCCCCCCGAATCCGCCCAAATTTGCCCAAAATCCCCCAAAACCTGGCGGATCCTGGCGCCGTCCGGCTCCAGGAGCTCCCCCAGGACCCGCTCCAAGGCGGCCGCCGCCATGTTGAGAGAAGCGGGTGCGGCCATTTTGAAAGAAGCGGGGGGCGGCCATTTTGTGTACGGCAAAAAGGGCGGAAGTGGGGTGGTGCGACGACGGAAGTGGGCGTGGCTAAAGGGCGCTCCGGTGGTTCTTAAAGCTGCGATGGGGGTGGGGACCGCTCTTAAAAGGGCGATGCTAGAAAGAGGAGATTTTTGGGGAAAAATCGGCGGTTTGGGGAAAAATAACTCGTGTTGGGTTCAAAATGAAGAATTCGGAGCCAGCAGTAGGAGGATAGAGGCTGAAAGGGTTTTTTGAGGGGAAAAAGTGAGTTTGGGGTGAAAAATAGGAATATTGGGGCTTCACTCGGGATTGGGGATTGAGGGAGGATGAAGGGTTAAAAATGGGGGGGGTTTGGGGGTGAAAAATGAGGATTTGGGGGTTGAAAATGTTCGGTTTTGGAGACGGAAAGGTTAAATCAAGGGTTTGGAATTGTCACGTTGATTTTGGGCTGACAAACGGCAATTTTGGATTTTTTATGCAGCAAAATTGGGATTTGCAGGGTGAAACGTTGGATTTTGAGGCACAAAATGAGGATTTGGGAGGTAAAATGACCAAATTTTAATTTTGTGGGGGTTTGGAGTTAAAAATCGTCATTTTGGGGCGAAAAATGGAAAATTTGGGGACAAAATTGGGGAATTTTGGAAAGGTCTTAAGAGGGCAACGCCGCCAGTGGGGCCCACAGGACTCTTAAAGCGGCTACACTCTTAAAAGGGCAATGCCACCTTAAAAGGGCAACGTTGTGACAAAGCGAGGCCCAGCGTGCAGGAAATGACATCACCGACGCGGTTACGACGTCATCAGACAACCTTTATTAAATAATAACAGATCCACCAATAGGAAACAACCTCAGGGATGGGGGAAAGGAGTGGGCGTGGCTTAAAGGGGAGAAAGGGGCGTGGCCTGGGTGTGGCCACGCCCCCTCAGGGCCTGGCCACGCCCCCCCGCAGGGCCAGGACAAGATGGAGGACGGAGCCCCCCTGGATTTTGTAGTCGGCCGCTGTCTTCTCATCGTTCCTGGGGGGAGGAGCCGGAGAGGCCACGCCCACTTAGGCCACGCCCATAATTAGCACACAAAACATACACCCACTCTACCCCGCCATCTTAAGCCACGCCCACTCATGCTCTGACCACCCCGGCCACGCCCACCTCACTAAACCCCATTTGAACCAAAATTTTGCCCCAAATTTCTCTGTTTTTGCCATATTTCCACCCCAAATTTCCTCATCCTCGCCCCCTATTTTAAGCCAAAATTTGCCCATTTTTAGCCCGAATTTTAACTGAAAAATTCGGGATTTTTGCGCGGATTTTTCCCATTTTAATCCCTATTTGAAGTCAAAATTCCCCCATTTTTAGCCCAAATTCCCCCCACAATTCCCAATTTTTAACCCAAATCTCCCACACATTTCCCCAATTTAACCCAAACTCCCCCCAAATTGTCCCTCTAGCCCCACCTCTTTCCCTTAGCCCCGCCTTTCCTTTTGTCCCATTAATATTCCCATTAAGCTCCACCTCTTTTCTGCACAGACAATTAATATTCCCATTAAGCCCCGCCCCTTACCAAGCCCCACCCCATTCCCCTTAGCCCCGCCCCTTAATTTTCAAATCCCGCCCCTTCCCCCTAGATTGATTGATTTGCCTCAAGTCACGCCCCTTTCCCCTTTAGCCCCGCCCCTTACCTTTCAAACCCCCGCCCCTTTCCCCCTAGCTTGACTTGCCTCAAGCCCCGCCCATTTCCCCTTTAGCCCAGCCCCTTTCGCCAGTTTTCCCTATTCCTCTCAAGCCCCGCCCCTTTCCCCTCAAGCCCCGCCCCTTTCCCCATAGCCTCTCCTATTCCCGTTAAGCCCCGCCCCTTTCCTCTCAAGCCCCGCCCCTTTCCCCTCAAGCCCCACCCCCTTTCCCATAGACTATAATATTCCCCTCAAGCTCCGCCCCTTTCCCCTCAAGCCCCGCCCCTTTCCCGACAGCATCTCCTATTCTCTGAAGCCCCGCCCCTTTCCCATCAAGCCACGCCCATTGCTTCTCAAGCCCCGCCCCTTTCCCCTTGCCCCCACCCCTTTCCCCATAGCCTCTCCTATTCCCCTCAAGCCCCGCCCCTTTCCCCTCAAGCCCCGCCCCTTTCCCCTTGGCCCCGCCCATTTCCCCACAGCCTCTATTCCCATCAAGCCCCGCCCCTTTCCCCTTAGCCCCGCCCCTTCCCCTCAAGCCCCGCCCACATCTGCTTGCCGCTGTAGATCAGCCGCTGCTGCTGCGGGGGGATCCCCTCCTTCTCCTCCACGCGCTCCTTGATCCGCTCCACCTGCGCCGGGAAAAGGCGCCCGGGCCACAGCTGGGCACAGCTGGGCACGGCTGGGCACAGCTGGGCACGGCTGGGCCGCGGCCCGGCTCAAACGGGCACGGCCGGGGCACAAACGGGCGCAGCCGGGGCGAGTTACGGCGCGGCGGAGTCGCCCGCCGGATGTGGGGGATGTGGGCGCCGCCATTTTGGGGTACGGAGGGCCGGAAGTGGAGCGGAGCGGGCGCCGGAAGTGGGGGGGGGAAGGGGAGGGGGGAGCGGCTTGGAGGAGTCGGATGTGGTTGGGGGACTGGGAGGGAATGGTTTATACTGGGAGGACTGGGAGGGACTGGGAGGGGACTGGGAGGGAACTGGGAGGGACTGGGAGGGACTGGGAGGGGACTGGGAGGGAACTGGGAGAGAATGGTTTATACTGGGAGGGAACTGGGAGGGACTGGGAGGGAACTGGGAGGGAACTGGGAGGGACTGGGAGGGACTGGGAGGGAACTGGGAGGGAACTGGGAGAGAATGGTTTATACTGGGAGGGACTGGGAGGGAACTGAGCCTTAGTGAGCTGGACTGGGATCAAACTGGGATGAACTGGGAAGGCACTGGGCCATACTGGGATCAAACTGGGATGAACTGGGAAGGCGCTGAGCAATACTGGGATGAACTGGGAGGGGACTGATCCATACTGGGATGAACTGGGAGGGGACTGGGATGGACTGGGATGAACTGGGACACCCCTGATCCATACAGGGATGAACTGGGAGGGGACTGATCCATACTGGGATGAACTGGGAGGGTACTGGGATAAACTGGGAAACCTCTGATCCATACTGGGATTTACTGGGAGGACACTGATCCATACTGGGATGAACTGGGAGGGGACTGATCCATACTGGGATGAACTGGGAGGACACTGATCCATACTGGGATGAACTGGGAGGGGACTGGGATGAACTGGGAAACCTCTGATCCATACTGGGATGTACTGGGAGGACACTGATCCATACTGGGATGAACTGGGAGGGGACTGGGAGGGAACTGGGAGGTACTGGGAGGGGACTGGGAGGGACTGGGAGGGAACTGGGAGGGAACTGGGAGGGACTGGGAGGGAACTGGGAGGGACTGGGAGAGAATGGTTTATACTGGGAGGGACTGGGAGGGAACTGGGAGGGAACTGGGAGGGAATGGTTTATACTGGGAGGGACTGGGAGGGAACTGGGAGGGAACTGGGAGGGAATGGTTTATACTGGGAGGGACTGGGAGGGAACTGGGAGAGAATGGTTTATACTGGGAGGGAACTGGGAGGGATTGGGAGGGGACTGGGAGGGAACTGGGAGGGAACTGGGAGAGAATGGTCTATACTGGGAGGGACTGGGAGGGAACTGAGCCTTAATGAGCTGGACTGGGATCAAACTGGGATGAACTGGGAAGGCACTGGGCCATACTGGGATCAAACTGGGATAAACTGGGAAGGCGCTGAGCAATACTGGGATGAACTGGGAAACCACTGATCCATATTGGGATGAACTGAGAGGACACTGATCCATACTGGGATGAACTGGGAGGGGACTGGTCCATATTGGGATGAACTGGGAGGGGACTGATCCAAATTGGGATGAAGTGGGAGGGGACTGGGATGGACTGGGATGAACTGGGACACCCCTGATCCATATTGGGATGTACTGGGAGGGCACTGATCCATACTGGGATGAACTGGGAGGGGACTGGGATGAACTGGGAGCCCCCTGGCTCTTCCCCCCTCCCCTTGAGCCGCTCCTTCCCTCCCGCCCCCGCCCCGTACTGGTCCATACTGGTCCGTACTGGTCCGTACTGGGCGCTCACCTTGTCCGTGGGCTCGATGTCGATCTCGATCTCCTTCCCCGTCAGCGTCTGCGGGGCCGCCATCATCCCACAATGCACCGCGCGCCTCACCCCTCACTCCCCCCAAACTCCCGCTTTTCCCCCCAAAACCCCCCCGCCTCCAAGGGTTGAAGGACAAAAACCCCCGAATTTGCCCCAAATCCGCGTTTTTCGCCCCAAAATCCACCTTGACTTTGATCAGCATCGTGGCGGCCGCGGCGCCTTCCGAGCCGCCGAGCGGAAGCGGAAGTGAAGCCCCGCCCGCTCTGCCCGCAGCTAAAATGGCGGGCGAAGCGCTTCCGGGGCTCCCACCAATCAGCGCGCGGCGCCCGCCTTTCGCCAGCAGTAAAAATGGCGCTGCCTGTAGTTCCGACAGCGCTTCCGGGCTCTGGACGCGCCTCATTGGTTAGACGCGCTGTCAATCATCGCCATTTCCCGCCCTCCTTTCCTGCCTGGCTCCGTTTTGCGGCGCGGCGGGGCGGGAACGCCAAAAACGCCCTTTTTAAGCCCAAATTTCGCTGTTTCAACGCGCGCTGACGTCACGCCAAGCGCCACAGCGCTCCCCGGCCGCGCCGCGCTGCGATTGGCTCCCAAAAATCCCCCCCAAAAGCTCATTGGCCGCCCCGGCCTCCCCCCATTGGGGAATGGTTCGCTCCATGCTAATGAGGGCAACTCACCCAGGGGGAGGAAGCGGAGTGGGCGGAGCCGGCGGCGGCGGGGGCGGGGCTTCCTCCTGCATTAATTAAACACGCGACGCTTAATTAGCATATTAATTAGCAACGCAATTAGGCGGGGAGCAGGATGGGCGTGGCTACTCACGTGAGCGGCGTTTTCTCCGCCGGGAGT